CGATTTTCACGGTCCAACGAGGGAATCGATCATGTTTCGTACCTCGGGCGACCTGGGCCTCTCCTCGGACGGGCCCTCGGTCTGCGGCGAGCTGGCTGAAGCCTGCCCTTGGTCTTGTCCATTCGACGACGGTCCTGCCAGTCCCCCTTGCGGCGGGCTGGTGCCCGTGGGTGTCTCCGGTGCCACGGCGCGGAGAGAGTTGGTCTCGCTGCCCAGGGCGTTGCCTTTGAGCAAAGCAGCTCCCCCAGCGCCGACAGCGAAGGGGATGGCCTTCTTCGAGTTAGAACTGCTCCGACGACTCTCCAAACTTCTGTTAAGCGCCTTGCTGACACCCTCAATGCTATTGACGCTGATCCTGTGCTTGTCCTTGCCGTTCGCCTGTGCGTGGGTGTGCATGTCGGCCATAGCCTCGACATTGTTTGTCGCTATTGTCGACTTGCCCAGACCAGGCGTCGCAGGCGCACCCGGCTTGTCTTCGTGAGCGTCGATGAGATACCACCTCAAGCCGTCCGACAGCTGGAAAGGGTTGTCGTCATCTTCGCCGTTGACGGAGTCGGTCTCGGCCGGCCTCGTCAGGCTCTTGGAGAGGTCCACAACGCGCTCTTGGATACGCGTGATGCGAGCGACGAGCCACTCGCGAGAGCGGAGTCGGTGGGCGTCGGTCTCGCGCAGGAAGTAGTGGGGGAAGCCGACGTTGAAAGCAGCCCAGGCGCCGGCTGTCTGGTTCCTAGTAGGCAGGAAGAGAGCGAGATCGCCCTCCTTGAAGTGCTTGAACGCAATCTTCTCGTGAGAATCCCTTTGCAGCGTGTGTGCCTTCTCTCTGTAGGCACGCGCGTCGCGCTGGAGCTTACGAGCGAGGTGCTCAACGTCCTTGACACGTCTGTAAACCGTCTCAGCGAACAAGTCCATGTCGAAGCTACCCAGCTTGGTCATGAAGGCTTCGTATTTCTCAGACTCGACATCGGCATCGCTGCCGTTCATCCAGTACAACAGGTCCAGGTCGGTGCTATCGGCCAGAGTGCGACTGGTGAGCATGCCAGAACGGCGTATCGTAGACTGGCTTGGGTCGGAGGAGTCGTTGGCGTTGTGGATCTGGCTCATGGTTCCCCTCTCGGATCTCGGGACCTTCTGGATAGTCATTGTAGATTCTTGGCGGGTGACAGAGAACCCGAGTCGCTCCAGTAGTCGACACAGGCGATCGTTGTGAGAATACAGACGCTGCGTCAAGTCCTTGGTCTTCTCTGACCTGGTGTCGAAGTGGCCAGTGACGGTCGTGAGTTTGGCCTGGGAAGCCTGCAGCTTCTCCTTGTAGAGACGCAACTCCTCTTCCAGGCTGCCCACTTGAGACTGTCTAGAGGCAAGCTCCTCCTTGATGGAGGTAATGCGCTCTTCTTCCTCGTCAAGCTTCTTCCGCAAACTCTCCGAGCCCGTCTCGCCGTCGGCAATCTTGGCCCGCAGCTGGTCAAGCTGCTCTCGGCTCTCGGCGGCCTCTTGTTCAAGAGCAGCAACTCTGGCTTTCTCACCATCCAGGTTCTCCTTGAGATGTCTTGAGGTCTCTTCCTCGGCCGCGAGCTTCTCCTTAGTCTCGGCGATCTCCGTCTTCAGACTCTTGACATGCTCTTCGGCCTGTTCGAGATCGGCCTTCAAAATCGACTTGTCGTTGTCCAGGGTCTTCAACTTGGCAGCAACATCAGTAGCCTTATACACGAGTGCTTCGATCAGATCATTGAGGTCTTCGGTAGTATCGTCGTTCGGCGAGAGTTGATCGTGGATGTCGCGAAGAGCCTTAAGCTGTGTGTCAACCGTCTCTTGAGCAGAGCTCAGACTCTTTGTCAGCTTCTTGGCTTCATCGTTCGTGCTCTGAAGCTGCTTTTCGAGAGCCTCGTTCTGCTCCCTTTGCAGACGCGCCTCATTGCGGAGGAAGTCAACCTGGCCCTGGGTCTTGAGGGAGTCGTCCTTCTGATCCTTTTGCAGGCGATCGATCTCGGCCTCCATTTCGTGCATCCGCTCGATGTAGGTGGCCTTCTCGTTCTCCCTAGACTCGCCAAAGTTCTCGATGTCGTCCTCGGTCTCCTCAAGGCGCGCCTTAAGTCCCTTGATCTCGTTTTCGAACGATTTCCTCTCTATGACGAACTCTTTCTGCAACGCCTCCATGTTCTCGAGTAGCTCCTTCTTGGTGGCGTTGGCCTCCTCCATCTGAGCCCTAGCCGCCTCCACCTGGGATTTTGCCTCGTCCACCCGACCCAAGACTTCGTTGTGCTCCGTCGTCCGGGCAGTGAGATCTTTCTCGAAGGCGGCTGCCTTCTCCTTCTCCGCATTGAGCTCATTCTCGAGCTGCTGAATTTTCTGCAGAAGGGCCTCAGAATTGCTAGCTGCGCGGCGGCTGTCTTCCGGTGGCACAGATCTGACAGAGTTCGTGGAATCGTTCCTCTCATGACCGAACAGTCCGCCGATGCCAGGGCGAGAGGAGGCTTGGCTCTGCCTATGAAGTAAGTCCTCTAACCTGCGCACACGACTTTCTGCAGTCTTGAGCTTGTTCTGGAGTTTAGTGTTGTCATCTCGAAGCGTATGGTTCAAGTCGTCGTCTCCACGAATCATCAGGCCACTACGCCCGAGGGCAGCCTCGTGGACACTCCCGTTCTTGAATGCCTTCAACCTCTTTGACTGCTGCTTCGTCGGGTTGCTCAGCTCATTGACAAGCTTCGTCACGTCCTCGATGATCGCCACCTCAGCCTGCTGTCTCTGGAGGTGTTCCAGGAATTCCTCGAGGTCGCGCTTCACTATACTGGGCCAAGGCTCCTCCTCTCCTAGTAAGTTGACCTCCAGACCAAGAATGTTGGCTTCCAAATTGTCGCGGCCATACATGCTGCCCACCATCTTGTGCCACTTTCTTCGCCTCTTCGATTCCTCGTCCTGAAACAGAGCCATCTCGTTGGCCAGCGTCGATGAGTCCGTCTTGATCTTGTCGGACCACTCCCGGCGGCGGATCGCCTCCGAAGCGAAGGAGGCATACATGTAGGGTAGCTGATTGATGAGCCTCAGGTAGTCAAAAGTCGTCATGACGTCCTCAGCCTGGTTCAGAATTGTAATCTGATTCTTAACGCTGCTATGCATGGATGTAATCTCAGTGATGTTCCGCATGAAATCGACCGAATCCGCTGCGATGGTGTTGCGCGCCTCTGTGGCGTAGTGCAGCATGTCAGCCATCTCTACAGCGCGCTTCTTCAGGCTCGGAATCAGACGCGACGTGTGGTTCTCTGCCGTACGCGAGGCCTGCAGGACATTCGCCTGGGTGTCGGCATACTCCAGCATCGTGCTGTGGTCCGTTTCTATCTTCTTGGCCACAGCCTCGATATCCTGAAGCAGCTGCGCCGCCTCTCCGCTTCGAGCCAAGGAAGACCGGCCAACAAGGTTGTCAAACTCCCCAAAGAGCCGCTCCACCCCGGCGTACATCTTGTCGGCCGTTTTGTCGAGGTCTGCCGCCTTGGCGCTGAACTTCTTCAGCAAGGTCGGCGCCAGCTTGCCGGACTTCCTTGCCGTGTCGAGATCGATCAGGTCCTCGAGCGTGGCCTGCTTCTTCTTGAGGTCGCGCGATGTCATGAAGCGCACCATTGCGGCCGAGATGGGCACGCTGCGCGCCACCTCCAGACACCGCTCCCAGCTCTCCGCCAGCTGCTCGAACTCGCCCATCGACGGCTCCACCCACTTCTTGAGCTCCGTGTACTTCGGGTCGATCTGCTTGACACTAATCTCGAGATTGGTCACCGCCGCGTCGAGGCACTTGATCATGACATCCATCTCGCCATAGCGGTCCTGCACCTCTGCGGTCAGGCGCGCAGAGTCACCCACGATGCCGAGGGCCCAGGCCTGTCTTTCCTTATAGAGAGCCTGCCATTCGGACAGCACGCGGATGTCGCCGATGTAGTTCGGGGCGTTGGGGACGGTGTAGCGTTTCGGGAGGGGCACTTCGGACTTGGGAGAGGGTCCGCCGGGGGACGTCGGTGAGGATATCCGGATGTCGTAGACGTAGATCTCCGTCTAGAGGGTTGTCAGCTTGCGCTCCTCGCCTTCGAACCTTTGAAGCCTGTTACCTCTTGATGCAGTGTCTGCAACTTCACCGCCCGTCCTTGGGAAGTCAAAGCGACGACCTGATGCGCGGGAATCGACGTGCTCCTCGCAATCCACGCCTTCAGCTCATCGAGCCTAACACCAGAGAGTCAGTCTCCCAAAACATTGCCCCGCAACAGAAAGAAGATATCCTACGCGGCAAACTGCGTTGTGTCCACCTGCAGGCGCTGGCCCGTATGGGCAATCAACACCTGCGTCGCCATCCCGGAGCATCTCCCGGCCTCAGCTGCGATAGCTGGCCCGCCGCTCGGTCTCGGGGTATGTTGACGAAGACTCTCGTGGCCCGCCTAGCTTGTCTTCGAACGTTGCGTTTCGAACTGCTGTTGCGGTACGCGAGGACAACAGCGGTCGTCTTCGTGTTGTCGTCCTCGTCGTTGGGGGCGCCGGTCGGTGGGAAGGATGCAGGACGCAGCGGTTCTTGCAAAGGCGCGAGCGTTCGTTCCGCCGGGCTTCCAAAAAAGATGACCGCTGAGGCGCCCGGAGCTCGTGCAGGCTGCAAACCCGCTAAAAACCTTGGTGGGCGTAGCGTGATGTCGCCTCGTGATCCTTGTTGTCATTTGATTGGGTGGTCTGGGGAAAGGCTCACTCCAGCCACAGATAACCCAATAATCGCGGCTGACTCGCCCGATAAGAAAAATCACAGGCAAGCCAGGAACGATGCACCAGCCACACTGCCACGTTTTTGGCTCCGGACTTGCAATCCCAGCGCCAATCCATCCCCGCCGGAGCTTGTGATTTCGGGCGAGTTCAATCTAAGAGTCGCGTACCGCGTTCCGAACGCGGGCGGACATATTCGGGCTCACTCCACGGAAGCAGTCAACGAGGAGGGTCCGCATTCCCCAGCCCGATGCCAGACACGCACACCGACGAACATGGATGAGCCTCAAACCCAGGCGACCTCAACGTCCAAACAGGAAGACGAGGTGCCGCCCTACCTGTTATCCAAAGATGAGCAGCGCGTTCTGGAGCTCTACGATGAGCTGCGCGACCTCGAGGTGAAGATTGCCCTCGTCAGAGCGCAACAGAGTTACAGACCAGGTACTTCTTCCCCATTTAGTCCATGCTTCTGGATTTCTTTCTCACATGACGAACCAGATTCTTCAGCTCCAGACAGCCAAGATGATGTGCGAAAAGCGCAGGAGGACGCGGCCAAGGCGCGTGCTGGATGGCTCTTGAGGAACGATATCACGGATAGCGTCATGACCGCCAACCCCATCCTCAAAGCTGTGCATGGAAGCACACAAGCCACGCCCATTGAAGTGTAAGCTTACTCCCGCACTCGGAATCCCTCACTCGGGCTTCATTTCGTTTACTTGCTGTTCTTCCCTTGTTATGGAATCTGTCAACCCCACCACTAACACACCCAAGGGACCTTTTACCGCACATCAACTCCCGCGATACCTCGTCCGTCGCCCTCGCGCAGACATCTAATGAGATCCGCACGACTCTCGACAAACTCACTGACGTCGAGGCCGAGAGCCTCCGTGTCGGCCGGCGCAACGTCGAACTCACCGCCGAGGTGCTCCGATTAGCGGAGGAGGCTGAGAGGAGGAAGGCCGGCGAGACCGACGATCCGGCCGTGCAGGCCCAGATGGCAAGCTTACAGGCCGAGTTGAAAGCGAGCAGACAGCGGTGGAAGGTCATGAAAGGGACTGCGAGTGCCGTCGTGGCCGGGAGCGGTGTTGATTGGGCGAGGGACGAGGAGTTGAGAGAGATGGTGCTGGATCCTGAGAATGACTGATCGATGCAGAGCCCGTCAATCGGCAGTGGTTCTCTCTGGCTGGCAGCCTCTCACCGAAATGAATATTGACGCGACATCTCACGCTGGCAGCAGCATTGGTGGAGTCGGTTCAGACATGTGGCCTGGGCCCGACGTATCGCGGACGTTCCGATTTTCGTTACTTCATGACAGAAACACGCTGCTCCATTGCCCGAGGCCAAATTGGGTTCGTAAGGACGTGGCCAAGGTGGACCGGAGTCGGCTCTGATCCGTTGTCTACGATCGCCAGATGCACAGTACCTGACGTATGCAGGTACGGACCGTACGGGACCCTAGGAGATCTCACGGCTACAATTGCTCCTTTCTAACAGCAGGGCAGACAGAGGACCCTAGATCACGGTGCTCGCCCTGCCCTGCGCACGATCGATCAGTCGTGCCTCGCCTCCGACTGCGCGGCACCGGCACTTTTGGCCTTTTCGTTTCCCAAACTCATGTTCGGCCCCTGCCGCCCCCACACAATCTCACCACTCAGAGGCTCGGAGGAAGCTTGACAAGGCTTAGCGTAACCCAGGCGCTATGACCACCGTGAATAGTCACGTGAGCCATGGTCCGCCGCCAACCAGTGCCTTTGATGATAGCATTGAAGATGTCGCGATCTTGTTGTAATGAAGAAATTTTGAGCGACCCAAATGCGCACGTGGAAGCTCTGCCGGTACAAGGTCTCCCAATAAGAATTCTAAGTTATTTGATTGCAAGTAGCCCGATGCATGCGTCGGTGCAAGCCAGCGCGCCACTGAGGGGAAGCACGCGATATCCTCTCAGAAGACGTTGCGGAAGGTTTGGGGTCATCCACAAAGTCAACGGAGGAAAAGAAAGAGAGGGAGCAGTCGAGGAAACCACAGACCGCAGAGGTTCGGGGGAGGGCAAAGCTCCCCGTCAGTCAAGCTCTGTCTTTGCAGACCAGATCAGCTCGGAGGGAGTGGAGCTGATTGGCGTTGGCTTACACTGCAACATGTACCTTACCTTACTTTCGCGTGCAGGTCAGGTCGTGAGAGTGGGCAAGGCGACTGACAGTGTACCGCCGTATGGTTTGGGAGGGGGTGTGTGTGAGAGAGGAGAGTGTCCTCAGGGAGGGCGAAATTTGCCGGGGGAGCATCAGGTACAGCACAGTATCAGCAAGACAAAAGGTGACTAGCCCAGCGAAATTGCCTGGCCCCGTGTATCCGCTGCAGGTCGCGAGTACTTTGCGCACTTTGCTGGCCAGCGCGCCGCCTATCCCATTGCCAGGGCCCTCTCTTTGGTGCCAGCCAAACAGGGAACAAGCGAGCAAAAGCAAAATGGCTGGGCCCGGCGGGCTGTCTGGAATGTGCGGAACCGTCGTACTCCTGGCAGACTTGGCCTGTCTGGCCATGAGCCATGGCAAAGTGCTGTGCCGGCCTGTGAAGTTGCAGAAGCCGCCTGCATTGGCAGTGTGCATTGTAGAGGGGTCTCTCTGACCGTGGTTGCAGGCATTACCCAGCATGGCGCCTCGAGGGTACACATGACGCCCGCACATTTCTGCGCATAACAAAGTATTCCCACTCTTCTCTCACTGCCGAGAGCGTTGCACTGCCTGGCTGCTTTGCCGTACCCCCAACTGAGGAGCTTAGGCGGAGGCACAGAGACGAGGCCGAAATACAGCGAGGTGCGCCGACGACCTCGGCGTTCTGTTGCATGTCCATTGATTGATAAAGCTCCAGAGAAGCTGAGCACGCAGCGCCCTTATCCGCAGCTGATAGCTTGATAGGCCGGCGATGCTACCGTTTGACCTGATTCGCCTTGTTGTCTCTGAAGTAGCAGCTTGGACGGATGAGCATCCGTAGCATTCATTCAATTGTCGAGGCCAGTCGGTGACCAGGATTGCCTAAGGTGGTCAATCAGTCTGTATCGTCTATTGTTAGCATCCGTATGATTCCAGCACGTGCTACAGACTGGCCTCTGGGTTTGAAGAGGAAGAGGGGAAAGAGCAGCAGTTGTTGGAGCACAAGGGAGGCTGGGGAGCCCAGAGAGTACCGTCAGCTGGGGGCGAGAGTGATTGGGCGCAGTCGCCCAAGCTGATTCCGGTCGTGGTGGACCAGTTTCGAGGTACTTCGCGCCTTGTAGCGGTACATGGCAATCTCGTATGACGATACATGGGGCGTATGCATGAATAAAGTACCCGAGTTTTGTTTCGGCCATCTCAAGTGATCCCCATCAGTGATCAGTCAGTCATTATGGCCTCCCGGTCGTCCCAACGTCGCATCTCCCTGAGCAACGCAGCGCAGTCCGTTCGGTGCAGTACATGGCTGCATTTGATGCCGTCTCGTCAAACAGTCGAGTGTATCCGTACGACCATAGAGAAAATGTCTCTGTTTCCCTGCTGGATCGAGGCAGTGTGCCTTTGCAACACGGTAAAAGTAGCTAGGATTGTGTCGTCAATGGTGACAAGCAGCTGGGAGCCGCCTTGTGTTGCACGAGGCTGGTGCTATTGCTGCTCATGTCGCGGGCGGAAGGTTTCGAGGTCTCGTCAAGTCGCGTTGAACCTCGGTGTGGATGCGCCGATGTAAGGTAGGAACCTCGCCGGAAGTCAGCTAATGGTGTTGCAGTTTGGGCTGCACGGGACAGCCACTACTGGAGTAGCAGTATGTATCCTGTCTAACCGCGTGGATTTGCAACCCAGGTCAAGCCTGGCATGGAGCGTTTGTCGAGAACTCTGCGCTGAAGTACTGGTGGGCTTGGTGTGCTTTGGCAGACGATCTCGTTAGTTGGTGTGATGATGATAGGACAAGCCACTTGAAGGAGGGGGAATGGACAAAGTATGTCGAGTGGTGTTTTAGTGTGGGCGAGATTGCGCAGCGACGTCCAGACACAGTGTGTGCGCGTAGGGTGTCTCGTCTCCAACGCGACGACTTTGCAGTCATCCAAGAGTACCCAGAGGTGGTGCCCCATCTGTTTCCTCACCTCACACACCAGACCAGCTCAAGCTAGTTGGTAGTAGTATTAGGTCTTGGTGTTTTTTTGGTGAGGATATCCGGATGCTGCGAAGCTTGTCGACAGATGACGCTAAATGGAGAAAGCCTCTAAGCATGAGGTCACCAGCATCCACGGCCCCAGCAGATAGGGACAAATCTGGTCCTCTTGTTATACGTGAGGTCTGTCGTATTCAAAGTTTGCGTTGATAGGGTCTTTGTAAGTGACGCAGTCCCAAAATTTTAACACATCAGATGCAGTCTCGTCGAGTGCCAGGAAGGCACTGCTCACATTAGCCGAATGACCTTGTCCCAGTACAGTGAGAAGGGGCGAGAGCTGAGTGTGGAGGGGACGGTACAGCAGGGGTTGAGGCGAAGCCTGTTGCTGATTATTGATTTCTGGCTCCTGGCAATCACCTCCGAGTCCCGTCTTCTCTGGCCTGCGCGACGCGGACTATGCTGATTTCCCTTCGTCTAGGAGCAAGGGACCTGCGGCGGCAAGGCGACTTGCAAGCTGGGCCAACCTGCCTATCAGCAAGTCAATTGGCGGTAGGGGGGCAGCCTTAGCGCCGGTGAAGAAGAGGAAATGATTATGCCTGGCCGAGTCCTGGTTTGGTCAGTGGTGGTAGGCGTGTCACTGCGCGTGCTTTCGGCCTGGAGGTGTCCGTATCCGCAACAAGAGGTGAGGGAATCCGTACGGTACGCTGCCATGGTATGGTCCATGGCTTGCTTGGTTGAGGGAGGGAGCTGGACTGCAACTCGACCAGGTGAGGTATCCGTAGAGGAGGGTGCAAGTAACATGGACTGGCGCAGAAATTTCTGGGCATTGTGTCCGGGTTGCGAGAGAGGAGCCGGCTGTTTTAAGTGATGCAGAGGAGCGAAGAGCAAGATTTGTGAGTGACGGCCAAAGAAATCGCGGGTGCTGATCCGTGTAAGTGGAGTGGACGACCTGGAGCCGTACGCGCAAACGAAGCCTCCAGGCAAAGTTGTCCGTGTCTGCGAGGGCCTTCCTACGCATGTTCGCATGCCAACGACTCAAAGCCAGCGATGCAACAGCTCCTCATCCACAGCAAAATGGATCGGACGAGACCAGGAAAACACTGAAATGACGGGAGCGCAAAATTGAAAAGACTGTCCGGTGGCTGCGGGCTGCGGGATGGGAATTGGAGCTCTAGGAGCTGGAACTGGAAGTGAAAGCTAAGGATGGTCTGTGTGGATGGAATATTGTGGTTTGTGCCAGGTGCAGCGCAGTGCAGGTGACGGAAGGCGGCGGCAGGTGGGGTCAATGGCAGAACACTGAACCAGCCAGCCAGCCAGAATCCGGATCTGAAAGTGAGGGAAAATAAAAAGCACTTCGAAAGGCCGGTGTTGCGTGCAAGGAAGGCGGGATGCCTGGCAGACGGACGGACAGACATGGAGAGAAAAGATAGGTACATTGGCCGGAGGCAAAGGGAAGGCGCGACAAAGTAGCCAGTGCGAAAACCAGTCCGAGGCGGGAGGTACAAAGCGTAAGTACAGTACTTTGGTGCGGAGTTTCGCGCGCACTTTGTACCTGTACAGTACCACACATTTATAGCAGCGACTGGCAATAGAACGCGACAGGAGAGCAAGGAGGTGCCAGGTGCGAGGGGGGAGGCGAGGAGAGGATAGGTAAGGTCAGGTACAAATGGATGGGCAGGAAAGACGGGACGGAAAGAAGAGTGGAAGATGGCGGCGACGTGAGGCAAGGCAACGGACGCAGCAACGCACGCAACGCACCTGGCAGTAAGGTAGGTAAGGTAGCAAGCAAAGCAAGGCAAGGAAGGAAGGTGAGGCGGCACAGGCACAGCTGCCACTTGCCAGTGCCTGGCTGCTGTCGCTCTTGCTGTTGCTCTCCCATTACCGCTTCTCGCTGCGACTGCCGATTTCGTTGTCTCTGCCTGCGTCCTACATACGCATACGTCCCGACGTCCTCTCACCTCTCTCTCTGCGCGTGCCCACGCCAGGCCATGCCATGTCTGGTTTGGCCAACCTACGCAACGTACTGGTTGCGTGCGGGCACACACCGCGTACCAAGCAGAGGTAGGCGCAAGGTCCCTTCCCGTACTAGCCAAGGCCAGACGATACATGGCGCAAAAGCAGCAGCAAGCTGATTGACGGTCCCCCGCCTTTCCCTGACGGTAGGAGGAAGGGGTAAGGTAGGAAAGGAAGGGTAGGTGGAAGGAACGGGAGGTACCTTCCCTGGTCTTGTCCGCCGGGAGGTACATGACACACTACCCGCACCTTCCCACCATACCGTGCTTCCCTGACGGATACTGCGCGCTTTTACTATGTAGACAGTAGGTACTGGCACGGCAGGTAGACTGACTTGCTTGCACTTGCACCTACTTGCTGGAGGGGGTGATGGGTAAAATGGGTGGTGGAGGATGGGGGAAGGAAGGGAAGGGGACTCTGGACTCCTCTGGCTGGTCTTCCACCTCACCTCCCGCCCGCGTCAGTCCTCGCCCTCACAGTTCAGGGAGGGAAGCCGCGCCCACCCATCCTGCTCTTGCTGTTTCCACGGTCCTTCTCCTCTCTCTCCTGCCTTTCGCTCCTCCTTTTCCGCGTGTGCCCAGTCACACCTCCCAGTATTTTCTCCCGGCTGCTAGAGTCCTTTGCCCAGTGCGCCAGTGCGCAGTCCAGTTTTCGCCTGCTGCACCCATTCAGCAGCCAGAACTAGCCCAGCCCAAGGCCGCCAGACCAAGCAAGACCAAGGTGACCCCCTTCCCCTTCCCCTTCCACTTCCCCTTCCCACAGTGCCACCCCTCGTCCTTACCCCCCCCAGTCGCAGTCGACCGCAGAGTCCCAGGCTTCCCAGCAAAAACAAGTGCGAAAGGCGCGTTGCTGCCGCACAATCACTCCCCCATAGTAAAAAGGCTGCTTGGCCCTCCCCCATACGTTTTCCTCCCTCTTCTTTTTCCCATACAAATCTCCCACCCAAATCCTCCTCCCATACAAACCACTCTCTCGCAATACACACATACAACCAGCCTCTGCGCACCTTACTTGTGAGTACTTGTCGCACTCCCCATCCACATTGCACCTTAGCATCACGCCCATATCCAATACCCTCAATATCTGCGGACGCCCAAAGTTATTTTGGCAATTATATTGCGCATCTTTACTTTTGCTCAAAGTCAAAATCCTGTGGCTTTCTGGCGGACTTTGGAGCGTGCATCCCCCTCCGCGATCTTTCTTCGCACCTCAACCATCTTCCTCAACTTCACCCAAAGGAAGCTTGACAGCTAACGGAGCTTGACGCGTCAGACCCCGAATTCCACAACACCCTCTCAATCTCTCAAAAACCCGCTCAGGTATGCTTCACGATCTCTTTACTACGACTTTGAGCTTCACATCTCAATTATCGCGCGTCGCCGACCGCAATTGCACTTGCGACCCATCACCACCCGCGCCTAGGGATTCGCACCATCGCGCAACGCTGCCTTGCCCAGTGCGCGGCGCAATGCCACCAACCCTGCGCAACATCCAACCCACTTTCTTTTGAAAACACGCTGCATCTGCCAAGTTCCTGCCATTCAGTCAAACTAATCGCTTTCTCATAGACAACATGCCTAAGGCAGCAACCAAGCGTGGCGCGGCCGGCAAGGTCGAGAAGAAGCGCGGCAAGAAGGGTACGTTTATCTCTTTCTCCCGTTCAGTCGACCGCGGTCTCGTCGACGGGTTACTCGAGTGTTGGGTCACCACGGCCTTGAACATCTCCAAGGCATTTGAAAGACTGCCCAACGGGTGTTCTCGGCCGTCAGCCATGCTCTCGCGAAGCCTAACGGCGCCGTGTCGCAGTCGTCTCTGCTCTACTCACCATATTATGTCTAACACTGATCCAGACCCCAACGCCCCCAAGCGTGGCCTCTCCGCCTACATGTTCTTCGCCAACGAGCAGCGTGAGAACGTCCGTGAGGAGAACCCCGGTATCTCGTTCGGACAGGTCGGCAAGATCCTCGGTGAGCGCTGGAAGGCCCTCAACGACAAGCAGCGCGCCCCGTACGAGGCCAAGGCTGCCGCCGACAAGAAGCGCTACGAGGACGAGAAGCAGGCCTACAACGTAAGATGCCCTCATGCACCTCCCTTGATGTGTTGTGCTGAAGCTAATTAGTCCTACTGAAGGCCGACCAGGAGGAGGATGAGTCTTCTTAGGGTATTCGTTGTTTCTGTTGTATCTCGGGCCGCGGCGTTCAATGGTGGAATGGCCCATTATGGGTTATCTTTAAATGGTTTTGGGGCAGGGAAGGCTCTCGAGTGTTACTCGAGTGTTACCACGTCTGGTAACGGAGCCACAATGAAATAACGAATATCTCGATATGAGAACTCCTGTACAAGTAAAGTATTCAGTGGCTTGGCTTCGTCGTTCCGAATTGCAATGCTGCACCAAAGCAAAGAATTTGTGTACACATGGTCATCGGCCCATGCACCGTGCTCACTGAATGAAGGGTCGCTTCCCCGGACCCAAGGATCTGGACGTCCAGGCCTTATTTTCGGTCAACCAGTCAGAATGTCCTGATCCTCTTAATTGCCAGGGCATCGTATCGTGGGGGTGAAGGGGGGAGGCACGCAGGCCAGAACAGCGGCTGGGATCGGCCTGTCCACTAATGCAGAGTGCACACGGCCGGGGTCGACCTGCCGTGCCGTCCGGGGGCCTGGGGCCGACTTGGGCGGCTTGTGTGGCCCGTGTCTGGCGAAGGCGGCATCGGTAGCCATGAAGCGGGTGCCGCGACTGGAAGTCATGGAAAGAGAGTGGTGAGCCAGCCGGTAGGCTTTCGTGGCTGCCGATTAGGTAAGAAAACTAGCAAACCCGAAAACGGTGCAACGAAATCTCCACACTTTCCCGTCCGATCCATTGCCGGGGCCAGGGTGGTCTCGGTGTGTTGAGACACAGCAAGATGGGAGGGGGCCGGTCCCTTCACTGAGGTTCCTGCATCCAGTATCTTGTCGCAATAGAAGGCAGGAGTCAATGGAGGCGGGCTGCCTCCTGCCTTCCCAGCGAAAGTCAGGACCAGAAATAGATGCCTGATTCTAGTCAGGTTACCGCCTGTCCCTCGCTTCCTTCCAAGGTCCATTCTCGACCTTCATAAGCCAGCAGCATCCGCAATAGAGCTCCTCCGTTCATTCTTTCGCGAACCTCCCAACTCCCACGTAATCGTACCGTGCATCTCCATCGACCATGTCGCGCGGGTCGACAGAGCAATCGAGTCTCAACTGCCTGCTTCTCCTAGCATGGGGACAGATGATGTTTGAGCCGATCTGCTTCGTCAGCCAATTGTCACTACATGCAAAAGCATCTCCCCCACTCCTGGTGGTGGGCATTTATTCATGAGATGAACCGGTCGATATGGTGCAGCTCCTTGCATCAGGGAGGGCTCTGTCAAGTTCCGTCCCGTTGTCCCGTCATCCCGTCTTGCGCACCAGACAGAACTACCTCGCCTCGCTAGGAAGGAGGCTCTGCGCATTGCACCCCGCGCGAACGGTTCGAATGAAGAAGCGACCGATGCCACATCGCATGCATTTGCGGGGATGACAAGAATCATAGTGCATCAACGACCAGACCAATGTGGAAGGATATGGCATCGTGCTGCATCTGACCATGCATATGTCAATACTCGGTCGTCGGTTGCCACGATACTTGCCCTACCACGATCTGTTCGTCTCCGGGGTTGCGTCTACGACACTCAACCCCGTAAATTTGGACGCACCGCTAGCGACGATCGAAGCGGGCACGATAGCAATGTGACGCTGTGCTATTTCGCCTTTGCGCCCCTACGCCCCGTTCTTGTCGAGCTCTTCGGCGCGGGGTGCACACATGGGAACCGTCAGCCAGTTGCTGTGTATACCTTCGCCAAAATGCCGGCCATGAGCCAATTTCCTTCGGTGCCCGGAAGGTCTCTGCCAGAAGCAAGTGTTCATCTGCGTTATCCAGTTTATGCAAGTGCTAGTCGCCCAAGCCTGAACCCCGCCGGCTCCGGCCCGGCCTCATTCGTCCATCGCACCGTCTTGGACGTCTAATGCATGCAGAGGGGGAAGCATACAGGTCCATGGGGTCATCCTCAGCAGTCGTGGCATGCTCTGGCTAGTCGGTCGTCAGGTCAATATGTGTTGAGCCCACACATTCTGCTTTGGCAGCAATCTGACAGATGTGCCCTCTTTTCTTTCCCTACCTTTCGGCCTCCTTCTTCAGAGTTTCTTACAGAGCCTCTCCTACCAGTTTTTGGATCGTCGGTCCATTCGGTTTCGGTGTGTTTTTGTGTTTCCGCCTTGATATATTCGGCGCATGCATCGGTCAGTTGACTCGGTGCTCCGCAGTGATTGACATACAACGCCGTTGGCGGTGAAGTCAGTGCAGGCCACCGAATGCCAAACTCAACTTCAACCAGCTTGCACCCGTTCAGCTCCGGGCATAGTCGCAACCGCCATTGAGACCCGACGACAAGGCATAGCCAATCTTCAATCGACCCGAGGCGGCCTTCTTCATAAACAACAGCCAGTGCTCGCCAACCACGGAACACTCGACACGTCAGATGTGATCAGCCTGTGTTGGTGTTTGGGTTCGCTCGTACTGCCAACACAGAAACAAAAGGCAGGACTGAATTCGGAGTCTGGCAGGGTGTGGTGGCGTGTGTTTCCGGGTTGGCCGCCAAAATCGAGACCTGCAGCTCCGAATCGCAATTGCAGCCGCTTTCCACCCATTGAGTGAGCGCCTACCGTTGTGGCCACACATTACCACCAGAGGAAGATCATGCCGAGCACAGGAAGCGGGTCGCCTCCTCTTACTCCTCTTCTCTTATCACTGTATTGTCTGTCGCTATTTCAGGACGATATATCGTCAGATCTTTTGAGCTGCTCAGTATCGCTTTCGTCAACTTTTCGGACTACATGCCGCCTGTGCAAAACATTGCTACAACACACAGAAGTTTAAGCACCAGCCGGGCTTTGCACCGACGGTTGAGAGATCCCGCCGAGCGATGAGAAGGTGAATCGCATCATAATCACCCATTCCAGTCGAGGACGCCGCCAAATCCGCCTAAAATGGAGCTGAGCCTACAGAAAGCCGACTTCCATCTCCTTCGAGGATGCTGCCTCGAGGCCGAGCGCGCCGATATGGTGTCAGTGCATCTTGAAGGTCTTCGCCAGGCCCTACCGGAGACCTACGGCGGCCATCTCGCCATGCTTGTCGAGGAGATGCGGAGCAGTGCAAGGGTTCTCCGAGACCTGGCCGATCTATCCCAGATGCATTTCAACCGAGTGCCAATACTACTCAACTACCTCAACATTGTTCTTCCGTGTCTGTCCAGGACCCTCCGCGACATCATCAACTTTTATGAGACCCGGACGCTGAGCAAGGAAATGCGATGGCGGAAGATGTACCATACGATGACACAAGAAGTTGGCGGGCTGCCCTTGCCACAACGCTTTCTGCTTTATAACCATTTCTTGACTAGTCTGAAGCAACTCCTCATAAGGTAAACCACAGTCTGTGGAGGGTGCCTCCTGTGGGGATATATTGACAAAAGTGTAGGTCGCCAAATTTCGACCTCAACGGCTTGGAGAGCCTGAGGACACGGATTATTGGACTTCGAGAAGCGCGGGGTCTTCGTACGCAACTGCTTGAGTTAAATTTCAAGTTTCATCTCGCTGACGTTCAGACAGCCACTCCGTCCACACAGGTCGGTCCCGTTCTCAGACCAGAAGTGATGATCCTGCCGACGCTCCAAGATCCCGTACGTTACCCAATAGTGGATCGATATTCTGCTGACTGGGACTCTAGAATGCGCACTGGGCTGAACAGATCTTCTCGCTCCCACTACCTTCTCGGACGGCATTGAAGCACAACAGGCCGTCGGAAGCTCGCGGCCAGTTTGTAGCATGGGGCCAACTTAATATCCCGAAGGAGACCAAGATGCTCTTCAGGCGGTACGGTAACAGATCGCCTCGACACATAAGCCGTACTAACTCTCGTTAGACCTTTTGACGACGACCGTCTCTGTCTCATGATGTACCTTAATTTGGTGAACCAGACACCTTATATCCTTCTTCGGACATTCCACCAGGGTGCACCATGGTTCAGCCTCCGTGGAACCCACGAGCTTGTTATCCACAGGGAACACAGCAACGCCCTGCATCTTAATCGGTGGAGTCAGGTGGACCGAATGCCGAAGTTGTGGGCTGGGCTGAGCTTCAAGACTTGGGAAGGTAAGCCGTTACCAAAGTTCCAACAGGCTTGGTGGCTTGCATCTGACGTGCGCTAGAACTGGTCTTATTCCATTGCACGTTCGTCTCCTTGAAAACCAGGAACGCCCTTACAATCGACATGAACGCGAGAGAGTTCAAGCTTAAAGGCGAGGAGAGACTCTTCCAGGCGTAAGGCTGCATCAATCCCCCGGTCTCATGTACGTCAAAACTTAACGTCTGTATCCAGCCAAATTATTGACGATGGCTTCAAACACTCTTTGATAGTCTATCGTGACTCCGGAACCAAGGGCCTCCGCCTGCATGCCGCCGTTTGGGAGGGTGAACTCCGCCAATGCCCAGTCTGGACGGCCTTCGGTACGCCCTCCGTCTCTACATACCCCCCTCTCTAGTTCCTGTTCCGGGTCCGCTCTAGAGTTATTAAAAAAACCCTCTGTCCTCGACCCACCAATGTTGTTTCTAACCTCGACTCACAATCTTCAGTAACCCATCAGTCTGCGTCTCCGACTTGGCTCCAGCGCAAATCCAATCACCGCGTCTGGCTTAAAGACGTCCAGCTCTACGTCTTCTGCCATCGATACCGCCAGCAGAACCAAAGAAAGGGACAAGCTGGCGCATTCGAGATCAACTTTGTCTCCGACGAGGGGGGCAAACGGTTCCGCGAAGTCTTTGCTCCCGCACCTGAAGACACGTCTGAAGTTTCGATGGAGGCGATCGAGGATGCGAAGTAGTCGTGCGTGCGAAGTACCGGGCCGAAGCTCAACTGACGAAGGACCGGTCCAATATTCCACCACCGATCGATACCTCGCCGCCCGACCAGCCCCGATACTCCACACAAACTCCAGGCGTGGTCCCCGATTCCCCGTGGTGGAGCTGCTTCGTATCCCACCGTACCCACGTTACCTCTCTACCTCCCGTCCCACACGCCGGCTCGCCATTTCCAGGAACAATCGTGG